TAATATAATTTTAATATAATTTATTTTAAATGTGAATTTTATATGTAGTACTATGTAATAAAATAAATTAAATTAAATAAAAACAAACATTCGATCTCCGAATAATTTTGCTGCGAATAATAATCGCAAATCCGCATATTCGAAGATTTCGGATCAATAAAACATTAGATTTTTTTTTCAACTCCAGAGACTTCGCTTACTATTTGATTAATCAGATTCTCCGAATACTTCGTTAAACCGAATACGAACACTACAGTAAAAAAATTTGTTCGCTTATTAGAACAGTAGAGATTTCACTGTATATGGTATATTTGCTTATGTGCATTTGCAACGATATTACGTATTAACAATTGTTGTACTCAACCTTTGATATGTGAGCTTTGCTGCGTTAGAATGAGTGTTCAGATTTGCTATTGTCATACCTTTAAAAAATACGTACATATGTAGGTAGTAAATATATATTAAATATTGTTAGTTTCCAATGGAAAGATTTAATAAAGTGATGTAATGTAATAAGAAAAATATGAAAAAGAGTGCTTAATATCTTTATATATTTACTATAAATAGTACCCTGAAGATGACTATAGACGATATCAGTTGAAATATCGGTGATCTTAAAATATATTTTTGAAAACTATGTACTAAATATGTATAAATAATAATAATTGTTAGTTTCCAATAGAAAGATTTAATAAACTAATGTAATGTAACAAAAAAAAAATATGAAAAAGAGTGCTTAATATATTCATATTCATACTATGTATAGTAGTACCCTGAAGATGACTATAGACTATAGTCGAAATATCGGTGATAACAAAACATATTTTAAAAACTATACTAAATATGTATATTAATATGTTGAAGCTGTTTTGAGCTAGTGCACTTAAGCACTTATACTCTTTTTTAACTCGAGGTTTCTTCAAAACCCCTCTCTACACCTTGACTACACTTTTGTTTATCACTTCATCGCACTAAGCAATAATTGACCTCAGATCTGCATACCTCGAGTAGCCTTCTGAGATTTGATAACGCGGTGTTGGTAAGTCTGTCAGATTTCGCAAATAATTTCAGAGCTCTATCCTTTATGTATTTTTTGATGCGATCAATCTTGATGTCCTTCGTCCTAATGTACCATGGAATTTCGAAACGTCTTATCAGAGCCTGGCCTTGTACAATTTCTAGCTGGTGAATAGTAGTGTTTGCAGCTTTGCTAAACGCTACACCACCATATAAATAAATAGTATATATTATTTTAAATGAAAGATACAATAAACTAATAGAAAAAATATAAAAAAAGAGTGCTTAATATATTCATACAGTAACTATAAATAGTACACTGAAGATGATTATTGAAGAAGATGAAGATGATTCGACTGCCTATAGTTGAAATCGGTGGCCTTAAAACATATTTTTGAAAACTATACACTAAATATGTATTAAATGCTAAAAATTGTTAGCTGCCGAGAAAAAGATTCAATAAACAAAAGTGTAATATCATAACAAAAAAAAAATATATAAAAAGTACTAAATATGTATATTAATACATATGCTATAAATAGTACCCGAAGAAGCCTATAGACTGTAGTCGAAAAATCTGTGATAATAAAATGTATTTTTCAAAACTAATTTAAAAAGCTGTATGTTATTTATTATTTTTATTATTTATTATTATTTATTATTATTATTATTTATTATTATTAATAATAATGTTATTTAACATCGACATTAATTAGCGCATTCAATAAAGATATAAAACTACGAATTTAGTTAAGTAAAATAATTTACTAAATATAGTAGTTTCTGATGATATTTCTAGAATATTTTATTGTTGTAATGCTTTAGACTGTAGATTGGCTTAGGCCTATACCCTCTTTACCTCTTAGACCACTGTCTTTCAAGAGCTTAACATTGCTTTGGTGCAAAAGACTTTGGATTGCGAAAATGGCAAAACACAAGCGGCCGACAACGAATCCAACAAATCCAAACGAACTGAAGTGATAAGGCGTTTAGTCGTCGTTGTGCTTGCGACTCGCTACACTTTGAGCGAATAAACCTGTTTGCGTTCATATAGGCCTCATTATTTGCTTGCAAGACTTGTGCGTGTTCGCTAGTAGATCGTACGTACGCTCGCCTCACAGTCGAAGTCGTCTACTCTGTTTACTCAGCAGTGCTCAAATATAGCAAATATAAAATAAAACACACTTCCAACCAAAAACTTTAAAAAACTCAATTCACCAAAAAAATATAAAAACTCAATTCACCAAAAAACAAAAAAAAAAAATAAGAATATAAAAACTCAATTAAAAAGGAAAAATATAATCAAAAATATTGCAAAAAAACAACAACAACAAAATAACAAATATTAAAAAACGAGTTAAAACAATTATACAAAAAAAAAAAAAAAACTGGTGCTGTGGTTTAAACAAAAATTATTGAGAAAAACGCTAATATTTTTTTTACACAAATCATATATGAAAAAGTTTATATACTCATGTCGGGTAACAAAATTTTATTATAAATTTATTTTGAAATAGAAAAATTCCCAAGTTAATCATTTACAAAGTGAACGGCGGCAATACGGCACAGCGAACAAAACGCGGTCGCTTGCTTAACTGGAAAACTTCGCAAAACTCAAAGCACAATATAACACACAAAAAACGGCGCCTCCGCGAAGTACTCCACAGCAGCAACAACAACGTGCAACGATTAACGTTGTTAAAAGAATTCGCTTAAAAAAGTGCTCACACTATATTACAACACAAACAACAACAACACCAACAACATAACTAACACTAACAACACTACCAGCAACAACAACAAAAGCCCTGATAAAAAAAACCACTTGAAATGTCGTCTCTACAAACGGTGAGTGCACTCAAAACAATTTCTATTTTTGTTATTGCTTTTCTTAAAGGTGTTTGTTTTTGCATACTAACAACAACAACAACAACAACAACAACAACAACAACAACGGCTAGCGATTCGTAATTGTAATGTATTAAGCATTGCGCAGATTTGTGTTGTATTTTAAATAAATATTTGGCTAAATTCTGTAATACAACGAAAACAATTCTAATAAGAATTTTTTTTGTTTTGTTTTTCAATTATAAAATTACAATTTCACTATAAGAATGCATTGCAGCTGATGAAACTGTTAGGGTTCGCAATTTTTAATCGCATTAGCCTTTACGTAGTTGAAATCACTTATCTTCGCGTATGAAAGGCATGTGGTCAGTCAGTCCATAATTACAGTCAGAGCATTGCCTTCAAAGTCCATAATCAGTTAAAGAAAGATAAGCACTGCGTACTTTATCAAAATATTTGTAACATTGTTCGATTTGTAATGTGAGTGTGTTAACAAAAAAAAAAAAAAAAATTAACAATAATAAAATATTAATGGTATATGTAATTATCTGGAATTTAAAAAAAAAATATTTCTACACAATCCGTGGATTCTGTCGATCGCTTTGTGAAGAGGCAAAGCAGACCATGTTTATCGCAATCAGAAATAAATATTGTACATTTCTTCGCAATGGAAATTTTTTTGTAGAACTGTTGTTTTTATTGTTGTTGTTGTGCTTCCGCATTTAGATACTTTTTTTTTTTGCCATTCCCGGAGTAACATTTGTAAGCTAGCAATACGCAGAAAGATAAAAGCTATAATATATAGGGTGTATTATACGAGTAGTTTATTATAATAGTGCAAAGATTAATATATATGATAAACTGATATATATGAGTACACGAGGAATTGGTTTATTAGTAGAGTATTAAGCAATAAAACTAAACTATTTTCATGAAATACCATAGATAAAAATTATTTATGTAATATATTTGTGAAGTATGAGGATTAACACAAAAGTTGTTTTCTATAGACTCTATAAATACTATAGATATTATTAGATATTATCTGGATATTAAATCTGATTTATATAAAACTTTTCGCACAGTTAAGTACATTTTCAGGCATATAGAAATTTGGCTCAGCTTAGTCAAGGCTCATATACTCCAAATATAAAATCACCGACTTGATACATAAAAGTAAATCGGAAGTATCTAAGTTAATATCTATCCTAACAGAATATTACATTATACGATGTAAAACCTTCTACATAAAAGTAAAGCGGAAGTATCTAAGTGCATATCTTTTCTAAAAGGACATTGCATAATAGAACGGCATAGAGCCAGGCTTGGCCTGCCCTGTTAAATCTCCTGTAGTACATGTCAATCTGTGCTCTAAGAGTACGCGCCAGACCACCTGTTGTTACTGTGCCCAGGATTGTCAAGCATCAGACTTAAGTTATTGACTGTCCCATTCTTTAACACATTTAACAATATTTTCAACAGTAGTACTGGTTACATGCTTACACTTAGCAATGTGTTCGATTGGTTTTAATATGCCCATCTTTCTATCAACAATTACGACGAATCAAAATGGATTTTTTAGCTAATTAAGGAAGATGCGATCTTCCTTTCACTTTACCTACCTATCTACCTACATAAATCTGTTTTTAAGATTACAATGTTTAACCACTTTTGTCACGTTTTAAAAGTTGATAAGTCCAATACATTCGATTGGTTTTAATATGCCCATCCTTCTATCCACAATTACGACGAATGTGAAATCAAAATAGATTAAGTCAAATCAAAATGGATTTCTAAGTGAATTAAGGAGGATGCGATCTTCCTTCCAATTCCCGTAACAACCCACTTTAGTCTATTTTTAGAATTAAAATCTTGAACCAGTTTTGTTACGTTTTGAAAGGTGATAAGTCCAATACATACATGAATTCTTCCATGTTTCTTTTTGTGATATCTTCCAATTGATAGAAGAATTTCGTCAGATAAACGATATAGAAACGATAGCTATCCAATTTTTATCGAAGTTGCATTATTTTGGTATAATTATCGCATTTACTACAGCTTTTTGTTAAGAAAATTTGTAGCATATTCGAAAATTTTTGAGGGAATTTTTGAGGACACACACACCTAGACCTACATTCAGACCCAGTCAAGCACTATCCATGTATATGAATTTTTCATCACCTTAATCCATCTAGTGTGGTCTCACACAAAAATTATTCATTAAAAATTAATCTAGTGTGTCTAAGATCTAATAACATTCTTCTTTACTACTTACTGTTTCACTTTAATTGAATTGAGTCGATTGAGCCTAGACACACTAAATTGATTTTTGAGGATACATTCTATAACTCATGAGTTGTTTTATTATTTTGTAATTTACTTAAATACATAGTGTGTGATAGTAACTGGAATGATTAATTGATAATTCAACTTTTGTAAACTAATTATTGATTTGTAATATGATTATTTAGTTTAAGTACGGTATGTTGTAGATAATTCGGATATCATCGTTATCCATATACCAGTATTTATATAATTTATAATGTCTATTATCTAGACACAGTGAAAAAATGTTATCTCAATAATCTGGACACTAATTTTTTTTTTCTAATTTATTTTCGCACATGTATAGATAAACAAACAATATTATCAAAAGTTCCTATCTGTGCCGTTAATATAGAGTTTGTAATATAGTCTTGTTGTGAAAGTTCTTTTGCAAGACTGATGGACAGGCGGACATTTCGTCACTTATAGTTTATTTTTCTATAGGTCTTTATAAAAACATTTACATTCACACTGTAACTGTAAGAAAACTTTTGGAAATTTTTGCTGTGAGCCCAATAGCGAACTTATATAGTGGACAATATATAAATAATGGACAATCATGTCTTCTGTCATTCTTAATTTGTATTATAGATTTTGTATACTAATTATTGGATCTTTATTATTGGCAAATGTTTTTTAATAAGTGATATTTGAATATATTAAATTTGATTGTAAAATAAAGTTATATGTACTCGTACCAGATATCTTGTATGAAATAAGAGAAAGTGTATGGCTACATAAAATACAAATGGTGATTTACAACATTATTAATAATATTAGTAACAATTATAAACAATAGTAACAATAATAATCTCTCTATAATTGGGACATTTCGGTTTTCTTTGGCAATCATTGAAACATACTTATGTCGGACAATATATTTAAATAAATAAATATAAATATATATGTATATATTTTATATTTGATCATCATCATCATTAGTGGTGCAACGATCCTAGTTGTATCCTAACCTTTCTTTGAAAATTCCACCAACTATCTCTGTCGTTTGTTATCATTCTCCAGTTTTTATATATCTAGTCTATTTAGCGGACTTCTTCTTGTGCATATTGAAATATTTTTTTTGTCGGCTTATTTATGGTCATTCTTGGAATATGTCCAGCCCATTGTAATTGTTTTCTTATGCTTATTACTGGTTCTCCTATCTTTTTTGATATTAGATAATGTAATAAAATCTAGCTACTAATGATATTAAAGTTTTATTTATTTCCATCATGTGACTATCTACATCTATCATTTTGATGTAATGATACATCAGCTTCTTCAATACATTTTCTAAATAATATTATTTGTTGAACCCTACACTTCGCTGACAAATTATTTTTTACGGTTAAGAAATAGGTAATCACCTATTTCTAAAGAATATGTATAATCTAAAGAATATGTTGGATATTAAAGTTATCTTTCAAAAGATAACTTTATAAGAGAGATAAGAGATAACACATTTTCTTGATAAGAGAGAACATTTTTTTAAGAGCAAATTCAATTCTTAGAAATTTTGCACCCCTAGGTTCTATAATATATTCCACGAGTGTTAAATCAATTTACAGGTTTTGAAATATTTTTTTCTTTAAAGCAAAATAAAAATTTAAAAGATGAAAATATATTTGAATAGTTTATTACCCAGTTGTAATTACCTCTAGTAATTTACTGATTAATTTGTAAAGAAATAAATTTAAATTTATCTAAACAGTGTTATTGTTTTTTTATATGCACTAAATTAAAACTAATATAATTATTCATAGTATATACATTTGTCCATATAAATATAGTAAGTCAGTCGTAACGTGTTTTTATAGAAAATTTTTTTATTTATTAAAAAAAATTTTTAAAGCACGAACGAATATTAGTTATTTACATCTGCTTGATCATTAAATCGATCGCGATTCATAAAAAAATATAAGTTGTTATAACTAATACTTTTCATTGTTGTATTTTTATATTTCCAAATAAAATTAAATAACAATAAAATAAAAAAAAAATTTTAAAAGCTTATTAAAATGATTTATTGTAATTTATAATACTTCAAAAATTCGACTTTCAGTCACATAGGAATTAAAAATTTGCTTCAACGTTTTATTAGAGATCTACCTGTATACCATATATTCTTAGCTTTTTAGCGTGCTCTATTTCATCTAATACTCTTTGAAGATATAATTTTTTCGACTTATTCTTCAAAAGATATAATATTTGGTTTCATACAAACGGAAGGCCTAAGATTACCTGGCGCAGATCAACACTAAACGTAATTAACATCATTATTAGGCCTTTTCTTTTGTAAGCATATTACAAAAGAACAACCGCTTATTTTAAAAATAACATATGAAACAACAAAAGAAAAGGTCTATTGTTGAGCTCAGAGAAGTGGCAGTAAGAAGACAAAGATGGAAGCAAATTGTAGATAGCCCAGATAGTCTAGTACAAAGCCAACTTGGAATCATGTGACGCCAAACAAGGCTTAATAAAAAAATAAATAAATAACCATTGAATCTAATTTAGGTTTATAAAAAAAAATTCACTTCCTCTCTTTCGAACTTTGGTACGCGAACATTAATTTAGTAAAATTAGTGTACATATTTAAAAAAAAATTATATTAATTGCGGTGATTACGCTTTTTTTAAATGTAAATATTTAAAAATAAATTATTTCAATGGCGA